TAATGATTACTAATTAAGGGGAAATAAGATATACTAGATAGATAATGATTACTAATTAAGGGGAAAAAAGATATACTAGGTAGATAATGATTGCTAATCAAGGGGAAATAAGATATACTAGGTAGATAATGATTACTAATTAAGGGAAAATAAGATATACTAGACAGATAATGATTATTATTTAAGGGGAACTAAAATATACTAGATAGATAATGATTACTAATTAAGGGGAAATTAGATATACTAGATAGATATTGATTATTAATTAAGGGGAAATTAGATATACTAAGCTTCATAAAGGTGAATTGTTAGATACAAATAGTTTTAATACTGCAGTTTTCCAAAAATGTAAGCCACTATAAAGGACTCACAAAGAAGCTAATAATATTGTAGTTTACAAAGAAATTCAAAAATGAAATATTAATAACAACGTGATTAATCAGAATATTATTATACAAATAATGTGAATATATATATATATATATATATGTGTGTGTGTGTGTGTGTGAATTTATAGTAATATGATATTATTGGTATTTTGTAAATTATTAATTATTATAAAAGATACAACAATAGCAAAAGGCACTAATTAAATGTAATACAACTGAGTGAATTATGTTCTGGAAAAAGTATTGTTAGCCCAAAATTTCTCGTTTTAAGGGTTTATAACTTAATGTTTTTTTCATAAGACTGACAACCCTTGAGTACTTAGTGCCCAATATCGTTTAGCAGCCATTGTCGTAATTAATACTACTTTCAAGAAAGGGCACTGATATTTTAAGCAGTAAAATGTTTTTATTCAAACTTGACACTGGTGATTATAATAATATTTTGGGAATTTTGTTCAATGACGTGATGGTGGCTTATTAGGTATAAATTTATTTGTGAAATATAACACAGTAAGGGAAATAACGTTGGCAATTCTTTGTGAAATATAATACAATAAGGGAAATAATGTTGGCAGTTCTGTATGAAATAGAATACAATAGGGAAATAATGTTGGCAGTTCTGTATGAAATAGAATACAATAGGGGAAATAATGTTGGCAGTTCTGTATGAAATAGAATACAATAGGGGAAATAATGTTGGCAGTTCTGTATGAAATAGAATACAATAGGGGAAATAATGTTGGCAGTTCTGTATGAAATATAATACAATAAAAGAAATAGTTTTGGAATGTATATAATATTTCAAAAGGAGTAGCTGTAAATAACATGGCATTATATAAATACATAATTTTTCTTACCCGCGTGCCTTTCCCTGTTACTTCCTTTTATTGATAATTATGTAACTAATTAAACTCAAATCAAGAATAAACGTGAATACTGTAAGGTTTAAATAGGATGTTTTATTATTATTTCTTACATATTAATTAAAATTATGCAATGGTCATCCTCGTACAGTGTGAATAAAAAGTAACTTACAAATGCCAAGTCATTATAGGGCGCTGTTCTCAGAACTTGGAAACAAAAAAAAAATATACTTACATAAATAGAAAATGAGCTATAAAGCAACTTACATACCACAAAATAAATATTGGATTCAGGAATCTCACTGGTCATGAAAACACTAACGTCTATGCTCAAAACGAATAAGTGATATTCCCGTCATTTAGATAAAAATTACAAGAAATATCACAACCACACGAATAATTCGTTAATGCACAAATTAAATGCTATAAAGTTTTAAAAGCTACATAAAATTACTTTTTAAAATGTCTTAAGGTTATGTGTTTTTAAAACAAGAACACAAGTAAAGGAATGTGGCAACTTTGGATAATACTACATTCAAGTGTTATCGAAGGAAAATGAAGTGTTCAAGTACACTATGCTACAAAATTATGAAAGGTACACGCTTTCTATATACTAAAGAGCATCAAAGGGGGATATGTTCTTATGTAATATTTATAACAGTAGTTGAACTATTCGGTTCGACAGTCCTTCCTTAACTGACCTACAATTGTGACATAGCATCTCGCGATTTCCATCTTTTTTTTTTTTTTTTGCTATTCTTAAATATTACCCGAGTGTACAACACTTCCGTACAACTGATGTTCTTGAAACAGCTACACGTAGGAAGATTAATAACACCTCACCTGTATTTTACCGAACTGGTACAATGAAGTCACGAAACAAGGAAAATGCACGGTACTTAACAAAAGGACTGTGATGAAACTTAATGTTAGTTTTCCCACATCTG